AAAAAAATGACTATTTCAATTATTTAATGGTAGCAAAAAATAATTGTTCAAATAACAAGTATAGTAACAAATAACTAATAATATGTAAATATTCACATATTGCAAAATATATAATTATGTCAATATCTATATTTCAACACTTATCTTTCAAACTTTCAAACAATGTGAAATGTGAACATTCAGACTGATTGACAAAAAAATAAAAATAGTGGCAGCAATAGAATTACAAAAAAAGAAGAAAAAAAAACTCAATCACTCTAAAAATAAAAAAAAATATCACCCACGTCCTCATATTCATCATCTTTATCATTATATCTATTATTAATAATCTATACAATTTCATCATTCCACCAATCCAAATCAAATCAAACTCACCTTTAAAGAATATGTTTGTAACAAAATTGAATAGACATAAACAGAATTTCGACTTACAATACTAAAGAAACACAGAGCAACAATGGAAAAACATAGAATTTCGAATACAAAGTGACAATGAAGGAATACAAAATTTCACTGCAACAATGGATGAACATTTTCACCACCATGTATAAATTAGAGTTTAAAATCTTAGCACAATGAAACAATACTACAAATGTAAATGAAATTGATAAAAAAGAAAAACGTGAATAATGGTAACTACCAAAATAGAGGTAGTAACAAAAAGGAAATGTATATCACTATGCTTGGTTTCATTTTTCAGAAAACACTTTTCAGAAAATTTTACTTTCTTATTTTTCGTGTTTTTTTTGTTTTTACTGATTTTTTAAAATATTTTAAGTAAATTTTAAAATTTTTAGACATACCTAACTTAGATGTATCTAAAAAGTAAAAAATTTGCGAAGAAAACATTTTAAAAATTCACTAAATACCCAAAATACAAAAAAAATACGAGAATTCAGTACGTTTTTTATATTTTTATGTATTTATTAATTTTTTAAAATATTTTTTTCACAAATTTTTTATTTTTTAGATATATCTAAGTAAGGTGCATCTAAAAAGTAAAAAAAATGTTTAAAATTTAAAAAACATACACTAAAAACAAAAAAACACGAAAATCAAAAAATTTAATTTTCAAAAAACTTAATTCAAAAAACTCAAACCAAACACACTGTATATCATTTTTCTATGTAATACATATCAACAATAGATATAAGGTATAATAGTTCAACAAACAATATAAATCAGGAAAAAATGATCTCATGGAATAAAAGTATAAATACATGAGACTAATTAAGTTATAATTTTCTTTTGTGGACTTATTGGGTTATAACACCTTTAAATGAGATTTATCAATAAAAAATCGTATTTTTTTTTCTTATTTAGGTATTATTTAAGAAAAGAAAAAATCATATCAAAATGTCTTCTCATTTATATATAAATTTCTATACAAATTCAATTTCAATTATAATAACCAATTTTGAATGGATTATATTTAAGAAATACTTATTTTTCATATATAATTATAATTTAATTATTATGATATATATAATTTAACTTAAATTTTATATACCAATATATAATATGTATGAATAATTCAAAAAATAATATTAAAGAAAAATTAATACTCTACATAATTAATTTATGTATTTTCTTATTAATCCAATCACAATATATTTATATTTAATCTTTTAAATAAATTTTATATAGTTATATTTCTACAAAATTTTATTATCCAAATAAAAATAAAATAAAAATAAATAATAAATAATTAGAATCACTTTTAATGTTATATTATTAATTTTCTTTCTAACTTAACTATTATTTTTAATATCAAAATGAGTATTTATTTTATATTTTATAATTTAATATATATCATATAAAATTATTATATGATAACTACACTTTTAAAACACTTTTGAACTAAAAAATTATCAAAATCAATAAACAATTTAACTATACGATAAGGCTAAGATTATTAAAACAAATAATCTAAATTTAAATTTAAATTAATATTATTTTTTTGTAATACATATTATAATATCATTACATTAAAGGGGTATTTGGGAAGAGGGGTGGGGCCCACTAAAAAAAACTAAAATAGTCAATAAGATAATGTCACATCTAATTCATAATCATTTCACTTTTTATTTCACAATCATCAAATAAACTATAAAAGAAAAGAAAAAACAACCAACTTTTCAAAACGACTATTTTAGCCAAGTTAAAATAGTCAAGAAGCCAAATAGCCAATTAAAATAGCTAATTTTCCAAATAAGGCCTACTTAAAGTTAACTCTACTATAATTTTATATATCAGACATTATTCTATAAATAATTTACGTACACGTGCAACATTTAATTTGATATTGATTGTTTAAAATAATAAAACTTAATACTTTTTTGTTAAATTTTTAGAAGATAAATTTATAAATACCAAATGATAAATAGTGTGAAGTACTATTTTAAAGAATAATGATTCATCAAAAAGGATTGTATATATTGATATTTCTTGAATAATTTTTAAATAAAAATTTGAATTTATAGTATTACTGATAATATATCTTCATGAGCGTTGCTAGGAAAGATATGTAAAAATAATTTGGTTAGAATAAAAATTTTGTGATTATTATGATATATCACATAATTAATCAGAACCCTTTTGAGAACTAAAATCATTAAGGTTATAAAGATTTTGTGTCTGATTTTCTTTAAGAACACTGTTTATAATTTGAATTTGTAATTTTTTATGCATTAATGTAAATAACTCTTATGATCTTACTAATATAATCATAAATATTATTTTTGAATAACCCATCTTAAACATTTTTTTTTTGTGTGTAATAAAAGAATTAAATATTGTTATATAAAAATATTATAATAAATGATAATCAAATACCACTTAAAGTATAATTAAAGATCCAATGCACCGATTTAGATATAACTAAAAATATAAGAAATTAGCAAAGAGTTTTTCGATTAATAATAAAAATAATACACCATGAGTTATAATTAAGGCATAATTTGTATATTATAGAAATTTTTATTATTTTTTTTTATAAATATTTTGATTCATGTGGAATTCATAATTTTTGATAAATTTAATTACACAACCGATGATTTGATTTTAGATTGATAATGCATTTTTTTTAAAAAATTTGAAAAAAATTATTTGTATGAGCTTTTTACATAAGATAGTAACAAAATTTTTTATCAAACGTTAGAAAATCTATTTATGTTTAGTTATTAATTTTTTTGAACGGAATGTTTAGTTATTGATTGTTAAATTTTTTTTAAATATAAAATATTAAAATTCAAAATTAAATTTTAATTTTTAAAATAAACTTTTGTACATCACTACCTACTAGTTATTATAATAAATTAAGAAAAAATAATACTAACATGAAAAGGTACAACAAATGTGACATGTGGTCAGCTGTACTTTATCCGCAAATGAACCTGAGCCGTTGAGCTAAGATATCACAATCCTTGCACTACAGAGCATAAAGTATAACCTCTTTTGGAATTATTTGTTGCAGCTTAATGTTAATAAATGATAATAAGAAAACAAAGTATAGAAGTACGTTGCGGTGTTTTGAGAAATTAATAAAAAGTTAATTTTTTAATTTTTTTGTGATTTTTTTGGTAAAAAGTTCGATTATTTTGGGTAAAAAATTGACTTTTTTAATCTCTTCCCAAACTGTCCCGTAGTTCTCAGTTATTAAATTTTTTTATTCCATAAATTTAAAAAAAAAAAGTGAGTTAAACATTTTAAAATAAAATTTTAAAATAATAAAAACAAATCAAAAACAATCCCAATAAACTACAACAAACGCTCCCATTTGAGTTTTTAAAATTTTTATTGTTAGCCGTAATTTTGTTTCAAGTAAAGTAATAGTCAAAGAAGTTAAAAACTAATGAGCCTAAAAAAATTAATTCAGATCCTCTCAATTTTATAATTATAATATAATATTACATATTCAGTAACTAAAATAAATAATTATCTCAAATTAAGAACAAATCATTACACTCATTGATTTCGATTTTTAACAACAGTTTGATGTTTCTTTATTTATTTATTTTTTGGTAGTAAAGTCTGCATATATATATATATTTATATATAAATAAGTCATCAATTATTATAGGACTTATCAAATAATAAGTCTATTTATTAAGAACTATACGTAAGTTATTTTAAAAAGTTAAGTACTCACACTTTTAGGGTAAAAAACACCCTTAGCATCTTTAAACACATAAAAAGAAATATAAATAGAAATTGAGGGAAAAACGAGTGAATCCTCATTGTAATTAAACCCTTCGTTGATAAGCAAGTCCCGCATTTCTTCTCAATATGCATATGTAGCTATGTTTTTATTTTATATTTATAAAAAGGACAAATTACAAACACCCTCCTCGAGGTTTGGTGAAAATATAAATTTTTCCATGAAATTTGAGAAATTACATCCTGCTCCCTGAGATTTTTATTTTCATAACAAATTGCCCCCTGAAATTTTTATTTTCATACAGATTTCTCCATAATTTCTCCTAATTTGTTATGAAAATTTAACTCTCAGAGGACAATTTGTAATTTCTCAAATCTCATGAGAAAATTTGTATTTTTACCAAATCTCGAGAGAGATGTTTGTAATTTGCCCTTATAAAAACTATTTTCAAAAAAAATTTAAAAGCAAACTTTTTAAGAAATATCAAAATTTTATTTTCAATTTTTCAATAATTATTCACACAAAAACAAAAATGATACGAAAACGACTAAAGTGTTTTCAAGCTATTCATTATATTGTTTTCACAAAACAAAGAAAAACAAAACAAAACAAAAACAGTACCTACCAAAGGCTTTTACAGTGAGTGTCTTCAAATAAAGTTAACAGAAGAAGAAGACACATCAATGTAATTTACAGCATTTCTTGAAAATATGTAATTTACACCAAGCAAGAAAATGAGACCTGTTTGCCTCCAGTTCTGCTTACAGTCCATTGATCAAGTCTGACTTAGTATGGTATAATCACTGAGAATGTAAAGAAATTAAACAAAAATCAAATTCAGTTTCACACAAACAGTCCTTCATTTCATGGTTATGTCAAAGCACAACAGAATAGTACATACAATTTAGCAAATCACTATGAACAATTCCCCGTCTTCATCAAATTCAGTTTTACATTACATTACATATATGATACTATATAAATCATCAAATCACTATGAACAATTCCCCGACTTCATGGTCAGAAATAACAGGAAACTTAAAAACCATGAAAATGGCCAAACCCAAATCGTTATACCTTTACAATTACAAAGAATATGACAATCAGAGTCTCCTCCTACCTTTCTTTTCCATGTCTGCGGCTATCAAGTCCATTCCTCTGTTTCCACTTTAGACTAACAATTAGTCAACAGCTACATATGTCTTCAATCCTTCTATCAGAAACTCTATAACCTCATTACGTTTCTTTTTATTCAAAAATTAAATAATTAATGTACAGACAAACTAATTTCTTATCCTATGTTGAAGTGTGGTCAGAAATCACATTAAGTAATAAAGGTGATTAGCAATCACTATTTTATAAAAAATGTGATTTCTAACCATACTTTAACATAGAATAGAAATAAGTTTATCTGAACACGAATTCTTTAATTTTGAATAATTAAAACGCAATCAGGTTGACCTAGTTGGCAAACGGATGTGATGGTCACCCAAGTGCATATATCTATTAAATAAGGTTTCTAATTTACATAAGTATAAGCAGAATCAAAGAGGACCTAGAATGGAAAGCAACACAGCTTTTTCATCATTCCAACTAGAGGATTCTTTTTGCCTTCTGGGATTGGCACTTTTTTTGGGTGGGTTTCTGGTACTGGTACTGCTTTGTTGCTCTTGGATGATTTTACCAAGTTATGGGAATTCGATGTACCTTCATTCCCATTGCCTGCCTTCTGGGTTTTTACAGCATTCTTGGTGACCCTTTTGTCTGGGAGTTTCTTGTCTAAGGCTTTAGTCGGCAACTTCCTTCCATTGCTGCCAACAAGAGATGTACCTTCATTCCCATTGCCTGCCTTTCGGGTTTTGATAGCATTCTTGGTGACCCTTTTGTCTGGGAGTTTCTTGTCTAAGGCTTTAGTCGGCAACTTCCTTCCATTGCTGCCAACAAGAGATGTACCTTCATTCCCATTGCCTGCCTTGGTGACCCTTTTGTCCAGGAGTTTCTTGTCTAAAGCTTTAGACGGTGACTTCCTTCCATTGTTGCTAACAAGAGATTCTGTAGGCATAATTAAAAGCACAAAAATGATTTCAACTTGCTAGTATATTGTTCTCATATCATGGAAAGAAAAGAGTTTAGGGGATTTTGATATCAACATATTAGATATGGAAAGAAATATATAGAACAGAAGTTTTACAATGATTTCCACTACCAACAGATCCTATTTCATTTAGGCAATAACAAGGGCAACAGCGCTGGGTTCACATTCCAAACTAGTCAACTGGAACAGGCTTTGCTTGCAGTGAAAAAGTAAACCATACACTAGTCACACAACAATCAAATTCCCATACAAGGAGTGAACAAGATTAAAAAAAACTCCCAATAAAGGAATGGCTATTGACATTTTAAGTTAAATGATGATTTCCACAACCAAATATCCCACTTTATTTTATTTTCTAGGTACAATAGGTCAGGTAGAACTCATTGCGTAAACAACCACGATTCAACAGACATTGATTTAACTCCCCTGTGCAAACCTGCTATAGTAGGATAGTAGCACATATTTAACATCTTGGTTTGCGCTAAGCATGGAGGGCCATGCAATATAGAGAGGATAATAAAGTGATAAAAAGTAACTGACAGAGAAAAACGAATCTGATACATGAAAATAAAAGAGACAAATAGAAAGAAATCTAGACATACCTAAAGTTGCTGGACGCATAACCACCTCATTTGGTTTGACAGATGCAGCAACATTAAATTTGACATTGGCATCCTTTCCCTGCTCATCTTGGTTAATTGGATCTTCTAGGTCTCCAAGGGCTAAATAATCAAAGCATTCCTCTGATGTCAAGGTCACACAACTCGAATTGTCAGAAAAGGAAGACCTTGATTCTGGATCTCCAAGATCGTCCAACTCCAAGAAGTCACCACTTAAAATATAATCCATGTCAGGTATGTTTCCCGCAGCTGCAGCCAATGGTATTGTATTGTCATCCCTGTTCCTTCTTGCCTACAAGTAATTAAATGCATAATAAGAATTTTATACCCCCTTAAGCCCCAACATAAACACATACAAAAGGATTGTGGGCTAATCCCATGTTTAAGGGATTACTAGTGTCACGGACAGAGAAATCCTAATGTTGCCCTCACCAGAAAGCGTTGGAAACCAAAGGAGATTGCTAGAACTCTCTAGAGAATGGCTAGAAGAAGGGAGGTTCTAATGGAAGAATCTAGAATTCTCTAGAGCAGTCAAGAGGATAGTGGAACAAGAAAGCCCTGGGAGTTTGTAGAGCATCCTGGAAGCTTCTGGAACTCCCTGGAGCATTGTGGAAACTTGTACATAGTTAGAGGCTACTATAGAATCTTCTAGACATGTACATACTAGATTAGTCTTAGAATACTCTAGTTAGGGAGAAGTGTCTAGAACACTCTCCATTAGTATGGTTCTAGAATATTCTCTGTAAGGTTATATAAAGGGGAGGCCCTCATTTGGCCAAACCACCCAAGCAATACAACATAAGCATTCTCCAAGTGTTCTCTCTAAGTTCTCCAAAGTCTCTCTTGTGTGTGTGCAATCCCCTAGCTCCCTTCCACAAAAGGCTTACTTAGGTGCAAGCAAGGCGTGCTACAAGCATCTAAGGCCGCACGGTTGGCTTAGAAAGACTGAGGGTTGGTTCAGAAATTCCAAGGCCGTGACAGTTGGTATCAGAGCGGGTTACGAAGGCGTCGTGACTTGAGGAAGGAAGGGCACTATGTCGGAACTAACTCACACCGAAGAGAACCGCGGAAGGGAGGCTGCTGCAAACTTGGGCAAGAAAGCGAAAGACAAGTCACGGGACATCATGAGTGCTATGGAGACCCGAGTGGTCAGGGTTGAAATGGCTATGGCCGATGTCAAGGAGCGTCTTGATCGGCTGGAACAAGGGATGCAGCAACTCGATGGCAATGTGGAAAGCCAAGTCGAGGAATTGCTTGAGTCCGTGCGGGACACCATCCGGATCAACTCTGAAGCGCAGAGACAGGAAAGTTATGACTTTCAGGAACGGATCCTGAAGGCTATTTGTCAACTCCAAGACCAAGTCCAAGAGCTGAAGGAAGGCTTGGAGGAGACACGGGCGGATTGGGCCATATGCAAGCGAACTGTGGCTAATGGCGGTGTTGCCACTAATGCGGGATTCACTCCAAGGCTGGAGGCACCCAAGCCTAAGGAGTTTGATGGCAAAAGGGACGCCAAGGAGCTGGATGACTACCTTTGGCACTTAAAGAGGTATTTTGAAGCTTCAAACTTAAACGATGAGCTTGCGAAGGTACGCACTGCTTCTCTCTACCTCACTAAGTTAGCTGGAGTTTGGTGGCGTCGTAAGCACGCTGAAATGGAAAGAGGCATTTGCATCTCTTCATGGGAACAATTCAAGAATGAGCTAACAAGGCAATTCTATCCGGAAAATGTGGCATATGAAGCACGTTTGAAGATGAGGGAGTTGAAGCACACCCGCTCTATTCGGGATTATGTCCAAGAATTCTCTGGGTTAATGCTTCAAATCCCTAACATGACTGATGATGACTTGCTCTTTAACTTCACAGCGGGGCTTAAGCAGTGGGCACAATTGGAACTACAACGAAGAGGCGTCAAGGATATCTCCACTGCACTCACCGTGGCTGAGACATTGGTGGAATACACGAAGCCGGAAGCTTCTAACTTGGAGTCCACCAAGAAGGGTCAAGGCAAAGGTGGGGGAGCCACATGGGCCAAAGAATGGGAGGATTCTAAGGTTCCAAGGTACAAAGAAGGTAGAAGCAAGTCCCCAACGGGCAAAGATTGGAGGAAAGAGGCGAAGAAAGAAAGCAAGCCCAAAGACAACTGCTTCATCTGCGATGGGCCACATTGGGCGCGCGATTGCCCAAAGAGGAAGAGTCTTAGTGCAATGCTGGAAAGGGAAGAAAGGGACGAGCAGGCTTGCATGGGTTCTCTGCAACTGCTTGGTGCCATAGAAGCGAAGCCTACTGCATCAACCCATGGGGATAAGGGTTTGATGTACGTAGAGGGCAAGATCAATGGGAAGGCGGCCCAAGTCATGGTAGACACAGGGGCTTCCCACAACTTCATCAAGGCGGAAGAGGCCAAGCGGCTTGGTCTAAGACTTGACAGGGGTCAAGCATTAATGAAAACAGTAAACGCCAAGGCAAAGCCTGTGGATGGCATGGCTCGAGGGGTCGAGCTACACCTTGGTGGATGGCGCGGGAAAGTGAACTTCTCCATAGCATCACTCGATGACTATGATGTGGTGCTAGGGATGGAGTTTTTGCGAGAGTTCAGCGTGGCAATGTTGCCTCGCGACAACAAAATGTGCATCATGGAGGGTGGGCCTTACATGGTGCCAATGGTGAGCAAGGAAAATACTAAACTCCAACTTCTATCAGCTATTGAGTTGGGGGCGGACAACGACAAGGTAGAAGGCGCTACCAAAAAGATGATTAGCGGGCAAGCGGCCAAGAAGGTTCTCTCCACACCACAAGTCAAGGAAGACTCAAAGAAGGGAGAGACTACCTATCAAGCTATCCTCCAAGGGAAAGGAGGAGCGAGACCTAAGAGACTTCCACCAAGGGGAAAGGTGGATCACAAGAAGAAGAAAAAGCAAGGCGCGAAGACACCTTCTCAAGCACATATGGCAAGTGCAACTCCCTATGGCAAGGAGGCAAGGAAGATTGTGCAAGGAAGGCGCGACGAGGGCGTCGCCGCAATAGGTGGGGGATAATGTCACGGACAGAGAAATCCTAATGTTGCCCTCACCAGAAAGCATTGGAAACCAAAGGAGATTGCTAGAACTCTCTAGAGAATGGCTAGAAGAAGGGAGGTTCTAATGGAAGAATCTAGAATTCTCTAGAGCAGTCAAGAGGATAGTGGAACAAGAAAGCCCTGGGAGTTTGTAGAGCATCCTGGAAGCTTCTGGAACTCCCTGGAGCATTGTGGAAACTTGTACATAGTTAGAGGCTACTGTAGAATCTTCTAGACATGTACATACTAGATTAGTCTTAGAATACTCTAGTTAGGGGGAAGTGTCTAGAACACTCTCCATTAGTATGGTTCTAGAATATTCTCTGTAAGGTTATATAAAGGGGAGGCCCTCATTTGGCCAAACCACCCAAGCAATACAACATAAGCATTCTCCAAGTGTTCTCTCTAAGTTCTCCAAAGTCTCTCTTGTGTGTGTGCAATCCCCTAGCTCCCTTCCACAAAAGGCTTACTTAGGTGCAAGCAAGGCGTGCTACAAGCATCTAAGGCCGCACGGTTGGCTTGGAAAGACTGAGGGTTGGTTCAGAAATTCCAAGGCCGTGACACTAGGCATCATCATTACAAATGCTTTTTTCTTTTTCCTTTTTTTCGCCACATTGTAGGATGTTAGCTATGTTCCATGGACTCGGATACAGGTGTTGGATATGTATCTAGAGGTCGGACTAATCAAACCATAAATTTAAGGTACGTAAACTCGGCAAAACAAAATTATATTTTTACATTTTTAAACAAGTATGTGAGATAAAATTATACTATATGTAACTTAGTATCAAAAAGACATTTATAACAATTATACAACAATATGTACATAAAATAATATTGTTATATACAATTATATAAAAAGTATCTATTGAAAAGTATCTGACACGTATTCCATATCCTTGTCCGAGTGTCAAGTGTCTGACATGGGTATTTGATTTATTTTGAAGAGTTCGTGTAACATAGGATGCCAGTAGTTTACTAGAGTTGGATTACCCAGCAGGCGGATGAGACACTATTGTCAAACCTGAGATCTCACCTCATTGTCACCTAAGAGGTTTGACGCAGTAGAATACACAGGGACTAGATATTGTTCTAGTAGACGAAAGAGGCTTTTGAATCCACAAGAAAAATAGAACCTTGAATCCACAAGAAAAATAGAACCTTGAATCCACAAGAAAGAGAAAATAACTTAATATTATTAAATAAAAATTTTCCTTTGCCATGAGACTTACATAGCTATTTATAATAATGTAAACCTTGGAGACCAAGTATTCTTGGACACCAATAAAACTCAAATTAAGAAACAATAAACTAATCTAATTCTTGAAACACAAGAAATCTAAGAAATTAGAAAAACAAAATCAAAACTACTTAAGAAACCTAATAATTTTAAAATATTTATACTAAATTACAAGAACCCTGATAAAATAATATATCAAAAATATTAAAACTAAAAATATAAATATTCTTAAAATTTTGTCCTACATTAGGCTCTTTTTTTTTTTTAAAGAACTCGTCCTCAAGTTCACATTAGAAATCTGTCATCGTCCATGCCAAATAAAAAGATACTTGGAATGCTTCAGTTGTTTGTCCCTCTTCCAAAAATTATATGCAGAGAAGTCTACTTTTTGAAAGTTACTCTTTATATGCTTCAACTGGTTGACAAGATCAATTAAACAAGCATTAAAAATCAAATTAAATTGCTCTACACCAAGAAAATCAACTAAATTTACTTTATATAGAACTTGCATGCTCTCTTGATGTTGCACCATCCCAGATTCAATTGATCCTTCAATTATCAACATTGGAATATCAAGTGTAGCATCAATCAATTTCTTTGTTGCACACAGCGGTTGTATTATCTCTTCTTCTATTTTATCTTTATTACTGGGCTCAATCAAATCTCTTTCTTCCTCAATATTTTTATGATTTGTTTGTAAAACTTTCTCCCCAATATTCAAATTACCATGTGTTGATGCATTATCAACACTCGAATAAGACTTTGTATCTTCTTCATTAGTTTTACAAACAATCTCACCACAAATAATATTTGGATGCGAATTCTTTTCTTTTGCAACTGCAATTTCATTGCAAATTTTTACCAACACCATGGAAGTATCTTGATTTGTATATGACAATATATCTTCATGATCATGAAAGTAAAATTTTGTTGCTAACAACTTTTTCATTATTAATCATGAATGAATTTTGTCTTTACCTTTGCAAACTCGATAATCTTTTAATCGATTCCACCACTTCAATGCAATTTTATCAAGTCTGTAGGACGCAAATATAACCTTCTTTTCATGAGGAATCTTCATAAATTTAAAGAAATTTTCAAGATCAAGCAACCAATCAAGAAAATCTTCTTTTTGAAACTTACTTGAACTATTAAAATATGAAATTTTTGCAAAATAACGTAAGCTAACAGGTTGGCCTCAAGTGAATCCTTCAGCGCAATTACTGTCAACTATTGGCTGCCTCTGGTCGACGATTAGTCCCAAATCGGCAAGTAGATTACAAATCTTATTGCGAAGTTCATGCACCTCTAGCCAATATTCCTCAATCGCATCTCATATGGCTTCCACCCTATGATCAATGCCAATAGGGATTGTGTGTTCTCCATTGTCTTGTGTCATTGAACTAGGCGAATCTATGCTCTGATACCACTTGACGCAGCGGAATACACGGGAACTAGATATCATTCTAGTAAACAAGAGGAGCTCTTGAATCCACAAGAAATAATAGAACCTTGAATCCACAAGGAAGAGAAAAATATCTTGATATTATTGAATAAAAGTTTTCCTTCGCCATAAGACTTACATAGCTATTTATAATAATGTAAACCTTGAAGATCAAGTATTCCTGGACACCAAGAAAGCTCAAATTAAGAAACAATAAACTAATTTAATTTTTGGAAAACAAGAAACCTAAGAAATTAGAAAAACAAAATCAAAACAACTTAAGAAACCTAATCATTCTAAAATATTTATACTAAATTACAAAAAACCTAATAAAATAATATATCAAAAATATTAAAACTAAAAATATAAAAATTCTTAAAATCTTGTCCTACATCAAGGTCCCTCATGACCAGTCGAGCTACAGCTATGCCATGACTCGTGATGTTATTATCCAGAATTTTCCATGTTATGCAACACATTAGTAATGACCAAAATGTTCTCATACTGCAACAATTTGACAATCTAAGATAAAAGATACATCCAAAACAATTCCTATAACCAACTGATAAGCATCAGACACACTTTAGTGATTAAAAAAAAAAAATCACAATGACAAGTAAATATATATATATATATATAACCCAATGCTCAAACCCGGTTGTAAGCTCAAATCACAATCTAATGGAAAAGCTAACTTGGAACACGAGACAATAACTGAAGAAGCATGCAATTTCACAAATATGGTAGCTAAGGGAAAAACAATAAATGAACATCAAACTAAATACAAACAAAATGAAAAAGAAAGTATACGGGTCAAACAAAGATAATGCAAGCTTGGCCTACCTCGGACTCGGCCATGCGACCTGGTCCAGTGGTACTGCCAGTATCTGGAACAACTGGTCTGTTTGGATGAAAATTGTTGCCACCAGCAATTTCTGCACCACCTAGTTTTTGTTTCATTTCTCGGTTTGGACTTGCTCCACTGCTAAAGACTCTACATAGTAAACCGGATTCCTGCAAATTCAACCAACCGGCAATTTGACTGCTAGGTCGGATTGATGATGAAAATAAAAGAAATAGTCAGGGAAAAAGCATATAGAGGTAGCAAGTTGTGTGGTTTACCTTTGGATTGCTATTGCTGTGCAGTTGTTTCTGAGTAATGCTGTACTCTTGCATCAGCCAATTAGTTCTTCGTTCATGAGGGGCTCGGCCTTCATAAAATTCGAGTGTAGTTCTCCAGCCAATGATGTTGGAGTTTGTAAATATCTCACAGGCCTCCCCTCTGGGCTTCCAGAATCCATGTTCTGAAGCTTTTTTCTGCTCTGAGCATATAAAGCACCAAATATCTGCATATATGTACCTTCATAAGCTTCCTTAGCATTTACTCATACTGGCCCTAGAATGCCAGTGTCTAATTTCCAAAATAAAGTGCAGTTCCTATGGGGACATGGTTGAACTAAAAAAATACTGTCACCCATGAAGAATATCCCTAATGCATCTATGTACAAATCACCTTAAGATGCATCTATCTTTTCTGCATAAAGCTACGACTGTAGTTCATAAACACTCGACTATTAGATCAGTAATAATCCCACTATTTTGCCAAACATGTATCATAATGGCCAGCCTCAGATATTTTCACTAAAACTTCAGCATAGTTGACACTTGATTATGTAGAAACAAAAGATCAATTTATCAACAAGTTCAGATATATCATATATGTACCCTTATACTCCCAATATGTGCTACATAACCAAAAATGAGAACGAAACGGCTGAATTTTCAATACTACTAGATCCATTTAAAACAAACTCTTGATTGTAGCAATTAAAATTTGTGGCCCAATCACATGAAGCCAGCAATGATACTGGCAAAACATTACAATAACAGCAGCCATTCCCATTGATTTGAGAAGTCTTCTTTTTTTTGGGAAGTGGTGAAAATACTTTAGTAAGATTATAATGGGGACATTTTAATCGCCGAAATTCAGCCTATCAAACACAAAATGAAGTATGGATCTTAATAAATCAGGATAACAGTAGTTTAAAAAATACTAGTCTCAAATAAGAAAATTAGAGATAAGACAGTCGAGAGAGAGAGATGGACCGAGATTTAAAAAAGTGAATTTGTATAGAATCATAAGAATCTAAATTGATACTAACCAGGTAAATTTGAGGGCAAGTGCTCGTAAGGATTAATATCTCCAGTCACATTTCCGTTCTGAAGGGTAAAGAATCCCAGTATTATTTGCTCCAAATGCAGAACGAGCTGCTCATCAGTCCAATATAAACCAATCTCAGCAGGAGGAAGGACAGATACCGCAGAACACATGGTGACCTAGTTTCAAGGGAGCCAAAACTAAATAGCAGCAAAACACCTGTATCTGGATGGATAGGAGCACAATCTCAGTCAGATTGGAAATGTAAAGAAAATGAAAGGATGTTTTTAATATTGGGTTCCAAGATCATCAATTAATTCGTACATATAAAGAAAACAAATGAAGAAAAAGGCCAAAAAATGGCAATACTCGAGAAGTACTAAAACCCAAAATTCATGATGGCTCCTATTGTTGTGTCCGGCACCATAGATTTTAGGTGGTCAAGACAAAATGATGACAACAAAATAATAAATCAATTTCATGTTTCTATCAATTGAAATAAACCAAAATTTTGGTGATCAGAGTCTGGGGAAAAATATAGGAATTTCAAATTCATATATCTTTTCTGATCACTAGAAGTACACACACCGTCACACGCACGCTCACACCCAACACAAATCAAGGGCCAAGGAAATCGTACCAGCGCACAAGGATCCCCCTCACAGCAGGATCTGATAGAGGTACAAGGCAGGCAGCCTTACCCCACTACTTGTGGAGAGGCTGATCCTGTGACTTGAAGCTGTGCCATATATGAAAAGTTTTCCAATCACATTCCAGATAAAAGCTTCATAAGCATAGTTACATGCCAATTATGCAATTTTTTATGTGATGCATACACACAAAACTGCACACATGTGCAAGCGTATACTATATGCATAGCGGTTTATCTCAAATGGGTATTCATATAAAAGGCACACACACATACAAGGATAAAGCAACTATGAAAACAATATCTCAAATGGGGTATTCATATCCAAGCCAAAAAAACCCATGAACTCTTAGATCAATTAATTGTGCATAAGTTAGTAATTAGTGCAAAAAGTATCAATTACACCAAATAATTAGCAACACTGGAAAAAGCATGCCCCATTGACTTCTAGTTGACCTAAAGATTTACCAAGAAAAGCCTAATCACTAAGCGAAAATGAATTCATCTTCTGGGTAGTTAATTAGAAATCATCAGGGTGTTTACTGAATCAAAAACCCAATTCTACGATCAATATTGAAGAACCAACAAAACAAAATTTATTACAATAAAGATTCATCGCATAGTTTTTCATGGAAATTCAAAGATATTTCACAGAAAGAACAAAACCCAAAATGAGTTTCAATGAAAATGTCCATTCAAAACTCAAGGATCATTCATATCACAAGTACCAACATCAGCAAAACAAAAAGATCAAAACAAAAAGATCAAAACCAATATCACAAAAACCTAGTACAATTCAATTGAGATTCAGTAGATTGATCCATAAATTGCAGAGAATTAGGGTTGGTGTGAGTAAATGAGTGTAGAAAAGTTCAAACCTTTGTATATTCTGTGTGTGAGCTTCAAATGCTCCACTCGCATTTACTTAGACACTACTCAAAACACAGGCCGACCAGATATGGGGTGTTACTTATAGGGCTGCTGAGGATGGTTGGGTTTAATATCTGACCAGGGTTAGTTATTAGAAGTGTGGTGTGGTGCATTGAGCTGAATTGGGTTCATGGAGACGCGTAGGACGTGGGGTTTGATTACTGGTTGAGTGATGCAGTCATGAGTACGGTGATGAGAGAGAGTAAAGTCACCGTGTGGTCCTTTCTTGGAAGCTTCTGGAATTCAACAATGGTGTTGAGGTAGATTTGTTACGGACCAATTAGGAAGGGCCATCTGATTGTGTAAGGGGAAAGCACAGAGATTTTGGAAAGAGCAAGGATCCTTAGAGTGATTTTTCCTTAAATTTTTCTAAAATTTCTTAAAGTGTTACAGTGTATGGTTGAGATTTACTGGCAAGTCACATCAATTTTTCTGATGTGACTTGCCAGTAAATCTCAACCACAAAATATAACACTCTAGGAAACTTTAGAGAAATTTCACTCTAGAGGATCCTTGGTGTTTTGGAAAAGGAATCGAATGGTGTATTTTTGTGTGGCGAAGTGGGCAGAACAAGAAAACAAAAGCACTAAGAACATTTTTAACCCTTTAATAATTTTTTTAATTAAATTTGAGTAAAGATTTAATAAAAAAATTGATCTTATATATATATATATATAGGGTGTGGCTTTTGTCCAGCCTGGGATCGGATTGGACCGTGCTGTTAGGCCCGTGGGGGTCTACCACGGATTTCGTTTTAATAATTTGAACCGTTTAATGTGTAGAACTTGTCGAGTACTATATACTTATAAAAAATCACGTTGATCGGATATCGATAGCTATGTGATCAAAACAGTTTTTTGTTAACCGTTAATTTGTTCACTGTCAAATCTTTTTAATACGAAACTAATTTGATCATATAGTTATCGATATCCGATCAACGTGATTTTTTTTCATGTATATAGTACTCAACGAGTTCCACATATTTAACGGTTCAGATTATCAAAAGGGGACCCGTGATGAACTCCCACGGGCCCAACAGTATGGTCCAGTCCGATCAGACTGGACAGAAGCCATACCCATATATATATGACACCTTTCAATAGATTTTTATCAATTTGACCGGTCGTTCAGTGAAAAGTAAATCTTCATCGAATCTTTTTATAAATTTTTTAATTCATCTCAAAATTCGATTGTTCGACCGGCCGTCTACCACCGTCCACTTACAAAATTTGATGAAATGATGAAAACTCTTTATTTTATGAAATATATATGTGTGTTTGGTTTGGTTTTGGGAGATAAATTTTCAAAAAAAAATTGGAAAGGAAGTTTAGAAATTTTTTTAGTTTGTTTGGTTGTATATTTTGAAAATAATTTTGGAGTATGAGTATTTGGGATGATTTGATATTTTATTGTAGTTGAGTAGATGTGTGTGAGAGAAAAAATGATTGAGAATAAGAGAGGAGACAGAAAAAGTGATTGATTGATGTGTAGGAGAGAAAGTGATTTTGAATTTTTTTTTTCCAAAATCACTAAACCAAACAAAATCTTAAAAAAATTTCTCCAAAATTACTCTCTCAAAAACAAACCAAACAAGGCCATGATTTTTCCTTTATTTGACGTCAGTTTAATAAAATGGCTGGAGCTAACATTTAAGGCGTTTTTCATCAAATTTAAATTTGATGAAAAATCTTGACATGGGTAGGACCATAAAGGTTACAGCCCACCATGAACAAGTCAAGCCCACCACTTAGGGCCCAATACATAGCCCAACTGATAAGGCCCAGCACCATCTGGAAATTAACATGGCATGAAGGACCAATGATATTCAAACACATGACAGGTAAAGGGCAAGCCACATCAACAGACAAAGATCTGCAAAGTTATTGCCACTGCACATCGCCATTAATGCAGCCCCTCACTGCATTTATTACGAAAACACCTCTCCGTCGGGACAGCACGCCCTCACCCTGAACAAGGTAAGCTACAGTATAGACTTTTGGCCAAGGTGACAGGTCGGAAGGGACAATGAAATGATTACCAAAGGATATAAGCAAACGTTGAAGACAAAAAGAAGGTTAAGCTTTCTATCTCTAATTCATCTCTACACTCTACTTCTCTCTCTAACTTGCTCGTCGGAGGGTTCGTTGGGGGACTCCCCGTTCCCCGTTGAACTCGTGTACAGGTTCTCTGGTGGGTTTGATCATTCAGATACCGGTTCGAGAAGTGTGGATCAGTCCGACCCGCTCTGTTTAGAACCCATTACATCATCACAGTATCATCAGTTGGCACCGTCTGTGGGAACGCCCTGCTCTGCACGCCAGTTGTGCTCATTGCCGCCGGAGACCCTGTTCCAATAACCCTTTCTTACTACCCATCAAAGTATATGGTCACGACTAGATCCATGGCTTCTCACTATACTGCTCCCGACCACCAAGCCGACCCCCCCAATCCAAACAACCTATCGCAGTATTTTATCGAGCTTACCAACAGCATTAACCGCATGGCCGAGCAAAACCAAGCCCTGATAAATGCCCTGCTCCAAATGAACCTTCCTATACCCCCTCCACCACCTCCTGATATTCCGTCCAACCAAGAACGAGCCCCGAGCCATACTACCCCGCAGCCCTATCCACCCAACTTGGAAGGCTTGCAACCTCCTCCTCCTACTAATATGAATCCACTACCCCGGCTCCCTCATCCATCGCTCTTGGCACCAGCCGCTGAAGGGGAGGCCAGTAGCGTCCAACCCCTGCTACCTTTTAGTGGTGATAACATCCCTCTCTGGGATGCAGAACTCCGAGCCATGAAGCTCTAACTCCAAAGGGTCATGCAGAACATCCAGCAGAAACCCTCTACCACAACAAACTCACCATTTGTCGCCTCCATCCGGGACAAACCACTACCCCCCAAGTTCAAAATGCCCACCATTGACTCTTTTGACGGTACAACGGACCCAGTCGACCATCTGGAGACCTACAAAACCCTCATGATCCTCCATGCATTCCCTGACGGGATCATGTGTCGAGCTTTTCCTGTGACACTAAAGGGATCAGCTCGGTTGTGATTTAGCCAGTTACCAGCAGACTCTGTCTCTACTTTCCAACATCTTAGTGACTCATTCCTTAGCCATTTTATTGGAGCCCAGCGCCAACGCCGTCCGGCAACCCAACTCCTCAACATTCGTTAAACCGATAGGGAGTCCCTACGCAGTTTCGTTACCCGTTTCAACACCGAAGCTTTGCAGGTGGCGGAAAATGATGATAAGGTCATCCTTACGGCTTTCATGGCCGGACTACGGTCTTCTAATTTCCTCTTCTCCCTCTCTAAAAACCCCCCACCTCCATGGCAGCCCTACTTTCTAAAGCCCAAAAATACATGAACGCAGAAGATTCCCTAGCCCCTCGCCAAGACCCTACAACAAAAAACCTGACCTCCCGAGAAAAGCGAAAAGACCTAGAAGCTAGAAATACCCAATACAATAACCAAACACCGCATTATACAGACCGACCCTCTCCGAGCCGACCGGTCGGCACCAGCCCGACCGCCCGATCAGCACCAGCCCGACCGCCCGGTCAGTTCGAGCGGTACACACCCCTCAACTCCCCTATGGAGCAAGTCCTCAACCAGATCCAGCGGGATTACCCCCTCAAATGGCCCTAACTATCACGAACCCCCTCCAGTCGGAAAGACCAGTCCAAATATTGCCGTTTCCACTAAGACCACGGCCATAAACACCGATGAGTGTGTCAACCTCAACGATCAGGTCGAGACCTTCATACGTCAGGGACGTCTTAACCAGTTCACGAACACCCGCCCTCAGCAGAGGCAGAGGAATGAGCCCCCCAGAAACAACTGCCAGCGCACCCCCCCGGCAGTCAGCCCAACCTAACCTAGGCTATGATCGCCCTCCACAGTATCCTCGACCGCAAGGTAATCCCCTCCACCTGTTGGAGAAATCAGAGTTATTTCGGGCGGCCTTGCTTGTGGGGGACCATCCCGCTCAGCTCAGAAAGCAGAGCTCAGAAAGATAAGGCAGGGCTTAGACAAAGCAGTTACCACGGTGGACCGACCCTCCAAATAGCCCAGGCAGGGGAATGAGCCTATCACCTTCACGGACGCCGACTGCGCAAGCATCTGCTACCCTCATGATGACCCTCTCCAAACAGCCCAGGCAGGGAAACGAGCCTATCATCTTCACGGACGCCGATTGCGCAGGCATCTGCTACCCTCATGATGACCCTCTCGTCATTTCTGTCCTCCTCTCCAACTACAAGGTCAGACAAGTTCTCATCGACAACGACAGTTCTTCAGACATCATTTTCCTCAACTGCTTTCGCCAGCTCAAGATTAGAGAGGAAAGTCTGTCTCCTCTCCAGACCCCTTTGGTCAGTTTTACTGGTAACCGAGTGACCTCCATCAGCTCTATCGATCTTCCTATCACACTCGGCGAGTACCCGTGGCAGACCACAAAGTTGCTCACCTTCTTTGTTGTTGATTGTCCCTCCGCCTACAACATCATCCTTGGCCGCACCGCCCTAAACGCTTTTCAAGTTATCACATCAACTTACCACCTTGCCATTAAATTCCCCACCGATCTGGGGGTTTAGATAGTGAGGGGAGAGCAGACAGTTGCCAGGGAGTGTTATGTCGCCTCACTCAAAGAAGTCAAGCTGAAGGAGGCAATGATCATTGAAGGGCTTGACGTCCGAGATGAGGACGAGCTGGTCAGAGGGGAGCCTGTGGAGGAGCTTATTGAGGTTCCCATCGACCCTGCCAACACGACCAAAACAGCCAAAATTGGCAGCTAACTATCCCCCCAAGCAAAGGCCAACCTTACTGTCCTCCTAATCGAGCACAATGATGTATTTGCCTGGACCCACTCAGACATACCGGGTATTGACCCCTCGTTCATAACGCATCACCTCAGCATTGAACCCCATTTCTGACCTTACCGCCAGAAGCAGCGCATCTTTCATCCGGAGCACAACACTCTCATTGTCGCGGAGGTCGACAAGCTCCTTGAGGCACAATTCATAAAAAACGTGGGCTACCCTAGATGGTTGTCAAACGTCGTCCTGGTCCGTAAGAACAATGG